GGAAGATTCTAATTGGCGGGTCAGGCTGGCGGGCCCAGACGGCCGGGACGAGCGCAGGGGTCGCTGAAGCGTCAATCCAAGTTGAATCACCAGGAAGTTTCGAGCTGTAGCGCCTTTCCGGATTAAATCGCGACAGCGCCAAAGCGAAATCGCCATTCTTGAGCGTCGAGGGCGCGGCGTGTGAACACATTTGGAGGTGAGCGCGATGTTTGTATGAATTGTGAGGAAGTCTGGCGCGAGGTCCCGATTTGCAATAATTTGTGGGGATGTGTCCGACGGGAGTCGCTTCTGTTGTAAATGGGGACTCAGCAAGCCAAATTGAGAAGCAATACTCCCGTTTTCGACGACGACAACAACAATAACAGCAACAACAACGACAATCATCAGTTTAAAATTGTTCGTTCCGAACTGCTTGCGTATCATTTCAACACGTCTATCCTGAACCCTCCGTGCCCGCCCTCTTCGTTTTCGATCGGATCCCCATTGGGGCATATCTTACCTGCCACGCGCATTGTGTGCAGCCCCTCAAACAATGGAAGAGAGAACGGATGGAAGGTGGATGGAGAAGGATGGAAAACGAGAGAGATTAGCAAAAGGGGTCTAGGAATTGAACGCACGTGGCAGACCCAGACGGGAAGATCGGGCGGGTAGACCCTAGCGGGCGGGTCGGGAAGGCGGATCCAGGCGGCCAGGCCGAGCAGGCGGGGTGCTGAAGCGTGAATCGAGCATGAAACGCGATGAGCTCTAGAGTGGTAGCGCGATGCCCGAGTAAACCGAGTGAAGGTCTAAAGCGACAATGCGATGCTTGAGTGTCGAGGGCGCGTCGTTTCAATACCTTGCGAGGAAGTCCCGCGCGACAGCGCGATGTTATAATACCTTGTGAGGACGTCCCGCGGGAGAGCGCTATTTTGGAATACAGTGTGACGAAGTATCCCGCGGGAACCGTTGTTGTTGTAGCACGATTCCCAACAACGCAGTTCGAACAGGTATATGTTTCCTCATCTAAGCCATATTGCGAAGCCCGAGGGGAGCACTTTAAGTGAACACGTACTGTGCACTCGTGGGTGATTGAAAATAATTATTCATCACGTCTGAGAGTTTACCATCCACAACAATAGCACACCACCATCACCAACAACAAAACAACAACATCACAAGCAACAGCAGCAACAACCACATTCATTATATATGTTGGCTCCTATCTCTTTTCCTGGCACACAATGCGTATATCCCAAAACCTCCGTACCCGGCCTCTTCGTCTTCGGTCATACCCCCTTGGGGGCATATCTTTCTGACTTGTCACGTGTAATTGGCGCAGCCTCAAACACAACGGAAAAGAGGACGGATGGAAGGGAGGGGGGGGGATGAAACCCGAGCGGCATTTTTGGAAGGGGGGGGGAGGAGCAGAACAGCCAGGGCAGACCCACACGTGCAGATCGGACGGGCAACGCGACCCTAGCGGGCGGGTCGGACAAGGCGGGCCCAGGCGGCCAGGTCGAGCAGGCGGGGTGCTGAAACAACCGTCGTGCATGAATCGGAGGTATCAATCGATAGCGCGATTCCGAAATAAATCGCGGGAGAATCCACAGCGAGGGCGTGATTCATGAGTTTCTAAGGCGCGCCGTCTGAATACATTGCGTGGAAGCCCCTCGCGAAAGCGCGAGTCCTGCACTCATTGCGGGGAAGTCCCGCGCAAGAGCGCAATTTTGAAACATATGGTGAGGAGCAATCAGGTGGGAGCCGTTGTGGTTGTAGCCCTGGGGCCGAATACATGGTTTCTTGACACTTCCCTCTGCTTGTAAAAAGCATGGTGTGGACCCTGGGAGAAACAAACATTGAATGGCCAGTGTAGGAGGGAACAAAAATATATGTTATATAGAAATGAAACTGGTCAACAACAACAAAAGCAACAACAACACTCATTGTATGACTGCTCTCTCTTACCTGTTCGCGTGCAAGGCAACACGTATGTCACAAACCTTCGGTATGTGCCCTCTTGTTCTTCCGTTGTATCCCCTTGGGAATCTACCTTTGCTACCTGCAACGCGTATTCCGTGCAGGCCCGCATGCACGGGAAAAAAAGAAATATGGAAGGAATTGGAAAATTGCGGGCGGATTGCTGAAGCGTGCATCCTGCACGAACCGCGAAAAGTTTTCAATCGATAGCGCACTTTCAAAATAAATCGTCGGGAATTCCACAGCGAGAGTGCGATTCTTGAGTGTCGAGCGCGCGGCTCATGAATTCATTGCGAAGAAGTCCCACGCGAGAGCGCGATCCCTGTAGAAATGGTGAGGAAGTTTCGCGCGAGAGCGCGATTTTGGAATACACTGTCAGGAAGGGTCCGGCAAAAACCGCTGTCAGTGTAAACCGGAGCCCAACCACGCAGCTTGGTTATATGTCATTTCTCAATTTCTTCAGAACCAGAGTGCGGGCCCTGGGGAAAACATTGTAATTGAATAGTACAATGGTTTCCGCAGGCGGGGTGAACAATCATTATTTTCTTGAAGCGAAAGTTCAACAGCACAACCACAACAACAATCATAAGAACACCAACAACAATCATTTCACCGTAACTGGATGCTCGATGCTTCTCTACGCAGTATGTATCCATCCTACTGGATCTCCCTATCACGGGGGAGTGTGTTTTTTTTTGTGTGGGGGGGGCGGGCGGTTTTCCCACGCGCCGGTGCTCTTTTTGGGAGCGCGGTCCTGTCTCGTCTGCCTGTCTGTTCGTCCGTTCGTCCGTCTGGAGGGGGTGCTCCAGCCCGGTAGGGCGATCGGGCAGCCCCGAAAGCGGCGCAACGCCGCAATCGGTAGCGCTCTCCACTGGTCAGGAGCGAAAGAAGGACGTACATGTACATGAATCCACGCTGGTTTCGAGAGCACGCATTGCACAAATGTTCGTATAACGCGGCCGGTCTCGCGAATCGAGGGGCCGTGTTCATGTACATAGCTGGGCGCGTACGTCCTTTGTGGGCTCCCTAACTGGGCGCTGCCAGCTGCGCAGATCCCACTGCCAACTATCCTAAGGCAGATGCACGTGTGAGGAGCTCCGAGGCCACCACGGGCTGAGGAGGGCACGGCCCGGCAGCAGAGGAGGAGGAGTGATGAGGAAGAGGCCCATATTGAACCATACTCCTCGTTATGACTCGTACTCACTCGCTGGCATGAGGATTCACTTGTCTTTGGGCGCGCTCTTCTAGTCAGACACTCATGAACAGACGCCCACTACGGCATAAGATAAAACATGAGACGCACCTATGGGGAGCTCCACGCAGTGAGTAATCTTGCGGTGCCAGTGTGTTTCCTCTTCTTCCTCTTGCGGACTCGCCCAGGTGGCCACAGGTGGTGGCACTGGGCAGAGCGTACCTATGGTGCTCAAGATCCCAGCTCTCACTGGTATTCCTGGCCAGTTCAAGGAGAGCCCCACGGCTGGCCTGGGTGCGAAAAAACCGGGCGGGGTTAGGATGATGTTGGAGGGTGTTGCGGTGAGCAGGGTGCGGCAGTGATCGGAGGTGTTGGGTTGTTTAGCAGTTGGGTCAGAAAAGAGCGCAGTCCAGCCCGCATGACGGCTACGTTTTGTTCATTACCCCCGAGGTGTTCAGAGTATTGTGTTTGGACCTAGCACGGTCTGCATTCACATAGAATGATATGTTGTGCAGATGGGGAAGCCACCAGCTGACCACATTTCATGTTCAGATTGAGCGTTGGTTGCGCACTGCTCGGTAAGGTCTCGGATGACTTGGAAGGTACATCTCGGATGTAGTCGTTGATAGGTTTCATGCATGGTGCCAGGTTTTCGCTACATAAACAGGCGTCTTACTTTGGTTACGTACCCTGAGCGACTCTTGGTCGGCGCACTTGGTTTTTTTTCAGTTGTCCGCCATGGGCGCAGGAGAAGCCGCCTGGAGCAAGGATGGGGTAGACAAATTCTGCCTCTCCGAACCAGCCACGCTACTCCCCGGCCAGCTCATTTGTCAGCAGCGGGGTGACGAAGCTGTTGTCTCTGCGAATCCCGAGGCTCGGCTCAACGCTGCTGCTAGCAACTCCAGTCACGTACACCTGTGCGCCGCCTGGAGGGGTGAACGTCAGGTGGGAGGGGACCGGCGGTTGACAGAACATCTCTCAACCAAGAGCGTCGCTTAGGCCTTGGTGTGGCGCGTGGGTGGCGTGTCCAGGGCGGGGACCTTCCTGGAGGCTTGCCGGCGCTGCTGCCTGGACGCAAGCCGCTGCTGATTTGGCAGTCAGGCGGACGGTGCTGCCTGGTCGCCGTAGCTACACGGGGCCCCGCGTTTAGGCAGGGTCTCGTATGTTGCGAAGGCCTTACGGCCGGTGCCGCCGACCCTCAAGGGAGACGACGACGACGACGACGACGACGACGACGACGACGACGACGACGACGACGACGACGACGACGACGACAACGGCGGCAACTGCTGCAGCGGCAACGGCGACGAGGCTGACGTGGGCCAGAGTCCTCAGGGATGGTTCTTGCTGTCTCTTCGGTTCTCTCGGGGGCCTCTGGGGATGAATTTGGGGGCCCTTTGGGAGCCTCTTGGGGGCCTGTTGGGAGCCTCTTAGGGGCCTCTTCGGGCTTCCTGGGGACCTGGTGTGGGCCTCTTTGGGCCTATGGGGAACCTCTTGAGGCCTCCTAGGAGCCTCTTGGGGCCGAATGCTCGAAATGTCCGTTCGGGTCCCCCGTTTGGGCACGCTCTTGGAGCCGTCTTGGGGGCATCTGGGGCCGTCTTGGAGGCGCGTTGGGTTGTCTTGGGGTACTCTTGGGCTGTATTGGGGCCTTCTTGGAGGCCTGGGCCGTCTTGGGGAGATCTCGGGGGCCTCTGGCGCCGTTTTGGAGCGGCGGGAAGTGGAAAAGGCGAGAACGCCCAAATCTGCAAAACCAATGGAAAAGCATAGAATTTGGCCTCTTGGGGCCCTCTCGGGAGTGCTCTTGGAAGCGTCTTGGGGCGTCCTGGAGGCTTCCTGGGCAGTGGAGGGCGTGAAGGCGTTTTGGACCGATCGTTTGGCGATTGGGGACCCTCTTGGACCGTCTCGGCGGCCTCTTGGGGCACTCTTGGCCTGTCTTGGTACGTTATGAGGCCCCAGGGCCCCCAGGGGGGGAAACCGTATCTGGGTGGCGACCCCCCTGAGGCCCCACAAGGCGCCCCCCAGGACCCCTCGGGACCCCCCCCTGCGCGGGGAAGGGATCCGATAACGACATTGCTAGAGTTTTCTCTCGCTGACAAGCTTGAGGAGGAGGGGTGCAGGGAAAGGGGACGACGGAGACGACGACTGACGGAGACGACGACTGGAACAGCCAAGCCCCTCACACATGCCGACGGTCGGCGGACTCCTGGCGTGTCCAGGGCCTCTGGTAGCCCTTTTGGGACCTTCCTGGAGGCTTGCCGGCGCCTTCCTGGACGCCGTAGTTACACAGGGCCCCGCGTTTAGGCAGGGTCTCGTATATTCCTCACCGTCTGGCCCCCTATTAGTTGCATTGAGTGTACAGAGCCCGTCTGCTTGCGTAAAGCGTTTGATGTTGCAGCAGTGTTGCTTTTGTTTTTCGCACGCATTCCCCGGGAGCCAAAGAACGCTCTGACCCCAGAGCATGCAGGGCAAGCTAGTAGATCTGGAAGAGTTCCATGCCTTGCCAGCCAGATGCTCCTTTGGTCATATATAGGCTTGCAAGCTTGTGCAGATTGAGTGGAGGCGTTAACACCAGAGTCAAACATTGCGGCCCCAAGATTTTGGGATTGGGCGATATAGCGATCCCTGGGTTGCTTATCTCGCTGCTGCTCCGACACGACATGATTAGCAAGACCACTCGTCGTCTCGGATACTTCTCGTGGGGCGTGATTGGTTACACCATTGGTCTGGCATCTACCTTCGTCTCGCTGTACTTGATGAAGCATGGTCAGGACAGCTATGTGTGCTTGTCGCAGTTCACCAATATTGCAATACATGTAGAGATGTGTGCACGCTGAGTCTTGTCGGTTGCAGAGTGAGTGCTGTCATGTTTAGAGTGGTGCCCGCAAAGGGGTCTTCCTCCAGACACACGCCAGGACATTCAAAACATCCACGTGTTTCGATCCGCTCAGATTCGATTCCCATCCACAGTTCTACAGGTACTCAGGGCAGTCGCTTTACTGGCGTAGCCCGTAACTTGTTGTCTACTAGGTTGCCACCGATTGGCCTTTCATATTTGATGGTTTATTCGCCGGGCCATTGTATGGAAGTGTGTTTGCCGTGGGTTGTGCGGATACTTGGCTGGCAGTTTAGCTCATAGGTGAGGATTAATCGGTGGCAGTTTGATTCGTGGGCGGGGGTGCTTACCAGGGGGGTGTGACTTCCGGTGGCAACTACGCCCGGGCGGGGTATGTGAGGCAGTGTTGTGAGTGGGGGATCTTTAGTTGGCAGTTTTGGTTGAGGGTGGCGATGTGTCGGTGGCAGGCTTCCCCTGCTGCCTGCGGCGCACTCCGCCACCGTGCCTGTGCGATAGCGCAGCAGGAAGGAGACCGAGTGCATGGCCAGCGCAATTCTCGGGTCAGGCGAAAGGGGGGGTTTGGGAAAGGGGGGGGTTACGAAATCTGCTGTATGCAGCTGGTTTCGGCCCCGCCGCCGGGCCCATTCCTCGATACATGGGCGTCTCCAGCGCCGGGAGGCGCCGGGAAAATCAGCTACGCGAGCTGATTCTCAGACCCCCCCTTTGCTATCCCCCCCTTTCGCCCGACCCGAAATTCCGCCTACTGGTCTGAACTGGGACGGGTCGTGAAGTCGACCTCGTCTCCGTCCGCGCGTCGGGGGGGATGTCGAGTTCACGGCCCGCCGCAGCTCGGCGAGCGGTCTGAACGGAGACGGGTTTGTCTTAACCTTTGTCTGCATGGTAGGGAGGAGGAGGAGGAGGAGGAGGAGGAGAGGAGGAGGAGGAGGAGGAGGAGGTGGCGGAGGGGGGATGTGGAGGGAGGTGGAGGAGGAGGAGGAGGAGGGGAGAGGAAGGAGGGAGGGTGGAGGTGGAGGAGGAGGAGGAGGAGGAGTCGGAGGCGGCGGACGGTGGTTGCAAGGTGGAGGTTCAGGAGGTGGAGGAGGAGGAGGACGAAGAGGTCGGTGCAGGAGGAGGAGGAGGAGGGGAGGTGAGCCCTTCAGGGAGGAGGATAAAAAAGGAGGGGGGAGGCGGGTGGGGGAAGGAGGGAGGAGGGAGGGGGAAGGAGGGAGGAGGGAGGAGGGAGGAGAGAGGAGGGACGAGGGAGGAGGGTGGAGGGAGGAGGGAGGAGGGAGGAGGGAGGAAGGACGAGGAAGAGGAGGGAGGAGGAGGTGGAGGAGGAGGAGGAGGAGGCGGAAGAGGAGGAGGAGGAGAGGAGGAGGAGCAAGGGAGGATGGGAGGAGGGAGGAGGGAGGAGGGAGGAGGGAGGACGGAGGAGGGAGGAGGTGGAGGAGGAGCAGGAGGAAGAGGAGGAGGAGGAGGAGGAGGAGCAGGAGCAGGAGGAGGAGCAGCGGAGACATGAGGCCAAGGAGGGGCAGGCCGCCTGTCTCGAGCGCCTCGGGAGCCGAGACGCTGGGGACGAGAAGGGAAACAGGAAGCCAGGGAGGGGAAGCCAAGGAGGGGAAGGGGCTCTTGCCTTGTCTGAAGTCGGGCCTGTCGCTCTACAGGGGGGAGATTCAGAAATAGTAAACAATAGTCTGGGGACGGTGTTTAAACATTTGTTTGGTATGTTTGAGGTATTGTCATGTTTTTTTTTTAATCGTTGGTCCACAATCCGCCTGTAGGGGGACATGCCCGACCTACGCCTTGTCTGACTCTTTTGGGGGCCGTCGTGGAGGCCTCCCTGGGCCATCTTGGTGCGCTCCTGTGGTGCTTTGGGGCCGTTTGTGTTTCCTCTGGGGGAGCTCTTGTGCGATCTATTGGTCCTCGTGCGCCGACTTGGGGGCACAACTTGGGGGCTTCCTGGGTTGTATTGGCTGCATTGAGAAGGCCTCACGGCCGGTGCCGCCGACCCTGAAGACGACGACGAGGAGGACGAGGAGGAGGAGGAGGAAGATCAGGAGGACCCTTTGGGGCGTCTTCGTTCCTCCTGGGAGCCTCTAGGGGCCGAGGGCTCAAAATGTCCGTTCTGGTCCATCATCTGGGCACACTCTTGGAGCCGGCTGGGGGGGGGGGCTCTTGGGCCGTCGTGGATGCGTCTTAGGCCGACTTGGGGCTTTCTTGGGCCGTCTGGGGTCTCTCCTGGAGGCCTCTTCGACCGGCTTGTAGCGATCTGACCCTCCTCGGCCGTCTTTGAGCGTCGGGAAGGGGAAAAGGCAAGAACACCGAGATGCTTCGACAACCCATGGGAAATCGATGAGTTTACCTTTGGGGGCCCTCTTGGGAGTGCTCCTGGAGGCTTCGTGGGGCGTCTTGCAGGACTCGTGAGCCGTCTGGAGGCCGTGAAGGCGTCTTGGACAGCTCGCTCGGTAATTCGAAGCACTCTTGGACCATCTTGGGGCTCCAGGATGCCCCGGGGGAGAGTCCTATCTGAACCGGGCTCCCCCCTGGGCTGTATTTGACTATCTTGGAAGCCTCTTGGGTCGTCTAGGGCGGTCGGAAACCCAAACAGGTGAGAGCCTCAAAATCCGTCAAGCATTGCAGGAAAATCACTGGTTGTCGCCTCGAGCTCTCCTGGAGGGCCTGTTGGAGCACTCTTGGTCCGTCTTGGAAGCCGCTCGAGCCGTCTTGAGGCCGTTTGGGAGCCTCTTGTGCCATCTTGAGCCATCGTGGATCGTCTTGTTGTTGTCTTGGCTGTCTTGGAAGCCGTCTTCAGAGATATCTTCGTCGTCTTGAGGCCGAAAGGGACGCCGGCGAGCAACTTCAGTTAGGGCGGTTTCAGAACGACGCGCGCGAGGGGAGGGCTCGGCCCTGGAAAGACTGAAGAAACCTGGCAGGCAACAGACCTCTATTCCGACCCCATGGCAGCTCTTCTCTTCGTGGTTTCTGTATTGGTTGTTTGTTCCCTTCTCTTGGCAGGGGGGCTTCAGCAGGCTGAAGCCGTAGTCAAAGCCGTCCACGATCTGCAGCTCAATCTTGAGTTGGGAGTTGATGAGTTTCCAGACGGGCTCCTCAGGGCCGGTAGCAGGACGGCGCCGCGACGCGGGAAAATTTGCGCCCAGCCTGCCCTGCTCTTCCTCGTCCCGGGCACGTTGATCCCCACCTTCGCGATCGCGCTCCAAGACGGGACGCTGAAGGATCTTTGGGCGGCATCGTACGGTTGGGAGGGGGGGCGCACCAGCAAGTGCAGCCACGAGGGTGCGACATTATTCGCTACGCACGATTCCTCATCCTCACCCTCCTCGTCCTCCTCTTCTCCCCCAGTGGATTGGCTCGGCCTTGGGAGTGCGGGCGAGTACGGCACGCCCGATTGCGAGATCTCTCGGCAACAGGCCGTTGAAGCGACGGCTCTCGCGATCCACAGGTTTCACAAATCTGAGGAGACGGCTTCCACACAACCACACGCACACACGCACACACACACACACACACACACGCACGCACACACACACACACACACACACACACACACACACACGCACGCACACACACACACACGCACACACACACACACGAATCTTTCTCGCGGGTCCCCGGTGCCGCTCGCCTTGCGCTCCTTGCGTAGGTGGCGCCAAAAATCGCCTTCAGGGTACGTTAGTTCCTCCTCCCCGGTGGAGGTTGGCGCGAGACCGCGAAGCTGTTCGTGAAGCGCGAAGCGCGAACAGAGCTGCCCTTACACTAAGGATGGGTTCGCATCTGCATGCGGCCATTTTTTTCGCTACAGTATGAGTTTTGCATTGACTGTAGCATTTCGGCAGCATTGCTTTCCCAGGAAGAGCATAAGCCCCAATGAGTCCACAGCAGGGGTCGACCAAGACGTTGTTTTAGCAACCCTGTGGATCGTTTTCGTTTTCTCTTCGTTTTCGTTTTGTCTTCAGTCTGGGGCCAGCATTGGCCCATCACGACTTAGGATTTGCGCCGCAGCGCTGTTTTGGGCCATCGGCCAGACCGTTTTTGTATCACAACGGCTCAAGACGACAACGAAACACACACACACACACACGCACACACACACACGACAAACCAGTCGGGTATCGTTTCTTCATTGCGTGGGGGCATGACGGGCGTCATGGCCCCCGCTCCGCTCCCCCCCCCCTATGACGTAACGCTCCCTCCCCCAGTGTGCTCCAGGCACTGCCGCCGTGCGCATTGGGATCCGCGTAGGAATCCGCATAGGAGTCTGGTCCGCAGTCGTCGTCGTCGTTGTCGTCGTCGCTCGTGGCTTGTCGCTCGTCGCTCATAGTCGTCGTGCGCGCGGACGCGGCTGAGGCCTGTTTTGAAATTCCGGGCCGATGACGGCAATCATCTAGGGGGGGCGGAGGGGGTCGATGACTTGGGTCTGTCTGGGGGTCAGAGAACGGGGTCGTCTGTAGGAGTGGCCCCAGAAGGAGCAGGGACAGCGATTAAATCGGAAATTAGTTTTTGTTTTGGTGTGAAGGTTTTTTGGGTCAAACTGTTGTTTTGAATTTTGTTTGGGTTAAGCTGTGGTTCCAGATTCGTAGCTGTTGGTGCGCACGTGAAAGTGCCGTTTGTTTTTCACTACTGCATATATGTCGGTCTTCGGGGTGGGTGTCCGATGAGTTAGGCGCGGTTGCTTGTTTCGACCAGTGCCCCAGGGCGTCGGTGCTCGGCCTTGGTTTTGCAGCTGCGTCTTGCGATGCAAGTTGGTTTTCGGCCTCGGTATTAGTCTTCGGCCTCGGTCTTCCGATGCCGTCCGTCTGCGACGCCGGCCCACATGGTAGAACAACGAAGATCGACTTCAGATTTGCGGCGGGGGGGCGGTCTTGATTTCCTGAGTTCTGCGTGCACCATTTGCTCGCCGACAGCGCGGTTCCCTTTGGGTCCCGCGACGCGTGGCTCGTTCTATGGCCCGCGGCGCCAACGGCCTCACTGCCGCGGAGCGCGCGAGCACGCGCTTGTTTGCGCGAGTTTTGCTTCGCACCGCGCAGCGCGAAGCACGCGAACGCACGAGCGCACATTTTCACAGCGAGGCTTCGATGTCACGCGCTGTTTGCGCGGGGGCTCGCGTTGCAAAGCCAAGGGAAGGGGGCGAGTCTTCTGAAGAGAGCACCGCGTGCGCGTCGCCGAGTGCGTTTCGCATTGCGCCCAGCTGCCAGAAGCAAGTCTCTCCACCGCGCCAGTCCAGCTCTTTGGGCGGCGACTGTTCGAGCGATGATAACGACGATGGTGGCGACGAGGACTGCGATGATAATGCGAAGAAGACGCTAGGCTGTCACACGCGCGCGTTCCCAATCAATTTCTGGAAGAGCCCTCATGGAGCTCAATTGGGCCGTATCAGGGCAGCCATGGGTTCCTGTGGGGCCGTCTCGCGGGCCCCTTGCGGCTTTCCTGGGTTGCTCTGGGCTCCACATGAGCCGTCTTGGGTCTCTTTTGCGGCCTTCGTCGGGGCGTCGCGGGGGCGCCTGGGTCCGTCGGGGGTCGAGAGGCCCCCCCGGGCCGTCTTGGATCCCTTCGGCTGTTTTCGTAGGCTGTCTTGGGGCTCTCTTGGGGCCGTCCTGTGCCGCATTCTGGAGGTTTCTCGGCTCATTGTCGCGGCGTCTTGGGCCGTCTCAGGGCAACGTTGGAGGCTTCGTTGGCCGTCTCGGGCTGATTGAAGCCGCGAGCGATGATGTACCCAAATCAATGAAGCGCCGTATCAAAATCAGCGCGTGTCGTCCCTAGGGTCTTTCGGGGTCCTTTCGGAGCCCTCCTGAGCCGCCCTGGGACGTATTGGGGGCTTTTCTGAACCATCTTGGTTTCGTGCTGGGCCTCCGTGGTGCCGCGTTGATTTGTCTCGGAGCCATCTTTGTCCGTCCAAGAAAGAACCTGAGGCCATCTTGGCGGCCGTTTGCCACCCGGGGCCGTCTTGGGAGATTCGGACAGCCTCAGGGAGTCAGCGCGGTCGCCCCGGAACCCTCGGGAGAAGGGGCGGCGCGCGGGAAAGCGCGCGGTGGGGCGGGCGAGCCCCCTGAGCGAATGGAGATACCCTGCAAGACAGCACTTTGCACTCGCGCGCTCCACTGTCGCGGCGGCGCGGCGCCGCCTGGCGCGCGCGAGCGCGATTGAGGCGGCCTCTGCGCCGCCGCGCGCGCGATGGCTGGAAGGGCGCTCGCGTTGGATTTCCCGCGCGCGCGACGGCCAGGCACCTCCGCGCGCGGAAAACGCAGCGCGAGCGGTCTTCACTCGGACATGCCTATGAGGCCGCTGGTGTCTCCCAGCGCGTCGTGGCCGAGTCTCGCCCGCCACTTGCCTTCGCGGCTCCGTGCGAGGGGGCGGTTGCGCTGTCAACCTGGGGCGGTCAACGGGCCTATGGGCGGTCGATCCAGGTCGGTCCGCGCGCGGTTGGGCGGGCAGCTCGGGTGGTCAATTCGGGCGTCCAACGCGCGGCCGGGCGGTCATCGCGCGGCTGGGCGGTCAACCTGGGCGGTCAACTCGGTCGGTCACGCCGCAGCGGGGCGGTCAACGCGCGGGTGGGCGGTCAACCCGGGCGGTCAACTCGGTTGGTCAACGCGCGGCAGGGCGGTCAACGCGCGGTTGGGCGGTCAATCCGGCCGTTCAACTCATCAAAGCGCGCGTCGGCCGATCAACTCGGCCGATCAACTTGGCCGACCAACTGGGCCGATCAACTCGTCAACGCGCGCGCGCGGTCAACTCGGCCGATCAATTTGGCCGATCAGCTGGGCCGATCAATTCGGCCGATCAACTCGGCCCATCAACTCGGCCGATCAACTCGGCCGTTCAACTCGACCCATCAACTCGGCCCATCAACTCGGCCGATCAACTCGGCCGATCAACTCGGCCGTTCGACTCGGCCGATCACTTCGGCCGGTCAACTCGCCTGGCCCATTTGGTCGGTATTTTCGGGCGGCCAACTCGGGGGGGGTCAACTCGGGCGCGCGCCGCGGTGCCTGGGCGCCTCCGCCCACGCGCGCCGCCAGCGCATGGGTGCGCTCACCCGCGCTCGCGGTGGGTGCCCGAACGGTTTCATTCAGACTTCCCAGGTCAATGAGCTTCGCGTGGCCTGGAGTTTTTCTAGCCCGTTCGGTTTCGGGCGATCCAGAATCGCCCAGGCGATCGAAGCCTCGGTCGACCCAGAGCCTCGCAGACGCTTGCGCTTCGAGCGATCCAGAGCCTACTAGACCCTTGCACTTGGACCCTTGCGCGGTTGGAGTTCACGCGAATCGCTCGGCTGGCGCCGAAACACAATAGGAGGGGCCGGAAGAGAGGGGATGACGACCAGGAACCAACTTGAGCTTGGCAATCGAAGTTCACAACAACCGTTCGGCTGACGCCGAGGCAACCGCTCGGCCAACGCCTCCATGCCGCCGCGCGCGCGGCAGCGCTGAGCCGACGTGCGTGGAGGCATGCAGCGGGAGCGGCCTCTGCGCCGCCGCTCGCTCGGCGGCGCCAGCCCGTCGCGCGTGGAACAAGCGCGCCGAGCGCGGTTTCTGCGACGCCGCGCGAGGGGGCGCCGTGCCGTCGTGCGCAGAGGAACGCAATGGGGGCGGCCCTTGCGCCGCCGCGCGCGCGGCGGCGCTGGGCCGTCGCGCGCGGACAAGTTGTGACGAGGCCAGCTTCTGCGCCGTCGCTCGCGCGGCGTCACTGGGCCGTCGAGCGTTGCGACGTGCGGCGGGGGGGGGATCTCTGCGCCGCCGCGCGCGCGGCGGCGCTGGGCCGTCGCGCGCGGAAGGCGCGCCGCCGGCGGCCTCTGCGCCGCTGCGCGCGCGGCGACGCAGGCCGTCGTGCGCGGAGAAGCGCGTCGCGAGCGGCCATTGCGCCGCCGCGCGCGCGGCGGCGTTGGGCCTGCGTGCGCGAGGAAACGCAACGGCGGCGGACCCTGCTCCGCCGCGCGCGCGGCGGCGCGGGGCCGCCGCGCTCAGGGAAAAAAACGCGACGAGACCAGCTTCGGCGCTTCCGTGCGCGCGGCGGCGTTGGCCGTCGTGCATGGACAGGCGAAATGGAGGCGGCCTCTGCGCCGCCGCGAGCGCGGCGGGCTGGGGCCGTCGCGAGCAGAAGATGCAACGCGAGCCGTTCCCGCGCCGCCGTGCGCGCGGCGGCGCTTGGCCGTCGTGCGCAGAGAACTTTGACGGCGGCGACCTTTGCGCTGCCGCGCGCGCGGCGACGTTGGGCCGCTTGCGTAAGAATGCGATGGGGGCGGCCCCTGCGCCGCCGCGCGCGCGGAGGCGCCGGGCCGCCCCCCGCGGGAAACGCAGGCGTTGGGCCGTCGCACGTGGAGATATGCAACGGGGCAGCCTCTGCGCCGCCGCGCGCGGCAGCAATGGGCCGTTTTGCGCAGAGACATCGGCGTCATGTTATGTTGTCTTTTCAGTTAGCGCGCTACGGCCGCGGGGTTTTCACCGCTGGCGCCCGACAACGTTTCGCGGAAACGCGGGCCTGTTGTAGGCTTCCTGGTCTGGTCGTAAACGCGGCTGTGCTCGACGGGCGCTGGTTTGCCCAATAATTTGCCAGTGTGTTAGCGCAGGCCCGTTTGAGTACATCATATCATCAGATGCGGCGTTTTTGTTATTCGCGTGTCCTCTAAGCTAGTTTACACATCGACTTCGGCCTTTGCCCAGACGTGTCAGGCTGCCGTTTGCAATGGAACCCTAGGGGGCGACCTCAGAATTTGAAGTTCCAGATGGAAGCCATGCTGGGCCCTCGGTGCAACGGGAATCTGGGCCAGACATTTCGCGCACCAAGAGCACGTTGACGCGAAACTTTGCGAACCAAGGGCCACGGCAACGAGCGACTAAGACGGTCTTGCCGACGCCCCTGCGGGCTCTCCTACTGACCTGACCCCCAGACATTCCCAATCGATGACGTCACGTTTCGCGCCAGCGCCGTATGGAAATGCCCAGGAATGACGGAGGACAGGTGCCAACATGTAGATGGCGATTTGCACCACAACGCCTGTGTACACCACACTGCCTGCGTGCACCACAGCTCCTGTGTACACCACACCGCCTACGTACACCACAGCAGCCGCGTGCAACACAGCGTCAGTTTTGTGCCACCGTGCCTGCGGGGCCAACAGCTCTGTGCACACCACAGCGCTTGATTACACCACGTCAGCCGTGTGCAACACAGCACCAGTGTACACCACAATGCCTGCGTGCATTGCAGTGCCTGTGTGCACCACGGCGCCTGTGTGCACCACAGCAACCGTGTGCAACACAGAACCACTGTTGTATATGGAATGCTGGAACATGTCCTTATGACAAAATGGAGTGCTTATGAAAACAATAGAAAATAATCCTTATGGACAATAGAGCGCCGCTGGAGTCTACGAGTCCTCCCGAGTCCGCCCGCATCAACCTAACTCCTCCCATCTGCGTCCATGAGGCTCCAGGTAAATTGGCCGTCCGAGAACTCACTGGACCGATCCAATAGACCATTATGCGGTGCGCGCTGACATGCGCACGTGCGCTGCAGCGCCAAACCGCACGTCAGGGGGTAAGGAGGAGGAGGAGGAGGAGGAGGAGGAGGAGGAGGAGGAGGAGGAGGAGGGGCAGGAGGAGGGGGAGGAGGAGGAGGAGGAAGAGAAGGAGGAGGAGTAGGAGGAGGAGGAGGTGGTGGTGGAGGTGGAGGATGGAGGAGGGAAGAACGTCGCATTCGATCATCAGCACTTTCTTGGCGTGGCGTCCAGTTGTCCGCAGCAGATCCTCACGTACTTGCTCTTTCTACCTGTCCTATGCACGCAGGCATTGTGGTGTACACCCGCGCTGTGTTGCACGTGGATGTTGTGGTGTAGACACGCGCTGTGGCGTGCACAGGCGCTGCGGTGCACGCAAGCACTGTGGTGTACACAGGCCCTGCGTTTCACATGGTAGTTGCGGTGTACACATGTACACCGGCGCTGTAGTGTACGCAAGCACTGTGGTGTACACAGGCGCTGCGTTGCACACGGTTGTCGCGGAATACGCAGGCGGTGTGGGTACGCGCGCGCGTTGAGTTGCACGCGATCGTTGCGGCGTACACAGGCGCAGTGGAACATATCGCCACCTACATGCTGCTCGCGTCGTCGTCGTCGTCGTCGTCGTCGTCTCTCGTCGCTCGTCGCTCGTCGCGTCGCGCGCGCGGGCGCGGCTGCGGTGCCGGAGCCACACGGCGGGGGGGGCGTTACGTCATACCCCCCTTCGCCCCCCCTCCCCCCATGACGCCCGTAAGCGCCGAACATGAGAAATGCTCTTGAGCTCTGGCTTGGTTGTCTTTGCGTTTCCGTTTGTTATTGTGTGCTCGTCGCTTGTTTCTTCGGGAGAGAAGCGTAAGCGGCAGGATGTCATCCGAACGAAATGTCCCGGTCTCTCATTCTCTGTCTCTCTCTTTCTCTCTATCTCTCTCTCTCTCTCTCTCTCTTTGTCTCGCTCTTTCTCTCTCTCTGTCTTTATCTTTGTTGTTCTCTCTCTGTCGCTCTCTCTCTCTCTCTCTCTCTCCCTCTCCGTGTCTCCCCATAAGTTACCCATACGTTGTACACATGTATACCGCCTTGCATGCTGGAAGCGCATGATGTTGAATAGAAGGAGCGGGCCAGATCATGGCGCGTGCTGGCGGCAAGAGTGTCGCCCCCCCCCCCCCCTGCTCCTCTCCCTGTCCATCCGCCTCCACCTGTCTGCCCGACGACGTCTTCGTCGTCGTCATCGTCTTCGCTGTCCTCGCTGATCCCTTCCCCCCCCCTCCCTCCCTCTCCCCCCAAAGCCCTCACGGTGGGCGCGCCGACGGGTGCCCTTCGATGAGTTGTCTCACCCTCCCGGGGGGCACGCGGAGCCTGGAGCGCCCTGCACGAGGCTTGGAATCGACGAAGGCTGTGCCCCACGATTGCCCGTAGCCGCATTTCTCCTGGCATCGCTCGGACGCGAGGCTTCCTCCTGGCGAGGAGCACCGCGAAACCGAGCAACGCACGGGGAACGGATGTCCGAGCGCTGACAAGCTCGTATCCTCTCCCCCCCCCCGCGGGGCACCGCCGCCCTCGAGCGGAGCGCAGGCCCGTCCGTGCCGACCGAGGGGTCCGATCAGCCCGCCGACGCGGAGGCCGCGGACAAGAGGGACTGAGCGGGGCGGCGCGGCGGCAGGCGACGGGCTCCCCAGCGCCCGTCCTTGCCTGCCCCCCCCCGTCCCCTCAGAGGCTCAGGGGAGGACACCGAAGAACAACACACAGGCACAAGCCTGAACTCTCGACGCTGTGCGCGGGTTTTTCGGATCGACGGCTGGGCCTCCCTGGCGGCGCCTCCGGCGCCGCCCCTGGCGCGCCAGGGGGGTCGAGCGCGGATCCCAGAAGTCCGAGCGGACCTCCACAAGTTTATAATTGCTTATGCTGCTGTTTTTTCTGCTAATAATACTGCTACCCTTGCCCCGTTTTTCGCCACTTCGTGCCTCCCAGGAGGCCCCCTCGTCGCCACTGGATTCGCCTCGAAATGCTGACAGAACACATCACAGGAGAGATCCAGAAAGTAGCAGTATCAGTAGATTGCGAAGGCCTTGCGGCCAGTACTGCCGACCCTGACGCTGGCGATCCCCCAGACACGTTGGGCCCCCCCCGCTGGCGACCCTACCCAGGATCCGATTGGATTTTGCGGGGGGCGGCATTCTGACGCGGAACCGCCCCCCCCCACAACGCCCCCCCTTTCCCCGGCAGGGAAGGGAAAAAGAGAAGAGAATCGATTCAATTACGAAGTTCTTTTGTGTTCCTCAATTTCTATGGGGCTTATGACGACGCCGACGAGGACGACGGCGACGATTCAAACGGAAAAGCGTCTCTCACAATCCGAAGGGTCGGCGAATTTGGGTCCCCAGTTCCTTCCTCCATGGTTCTCCACCCTTCCCCTCCCCTCCCACTTCCTGGTTCCACAAGCAGCGTGCTTGGGTACAGTCGCGCCGCCCTGCGACGGCGAGGGCAGCAGCAGCGAGGAAGACGTGATCGCGGGCTGCCCTCTGATCTCCTTCGCTCGTTCCGTTTCTCCCCCTGTTCTATGCATGTAGTGTTCGGCGCCTTCTTTCGTTTCTCTCTATCTCTCTATCTATGGTAATCGTTATCCATGTGTTCAGTCGTTCATGTGTTACCTCTCAATGTCTCGTTATTTTGGTGCTGTTGGTTGTGAGTGCGTCTCTTGCCATATGTATAGATATGTGTATGTATGTCTCTCTCTCTTTCTTTATCTCTCCCGCTATCTCTCTGTGTTTATATGCATATACATATATATAACTATATATATGTGCATATGTACATATAAATGCCGTGAATTACCTTTACGCGTGCATGTCTCTCTCTATATTATATACGATATATATACATATATATATACATTCATACTTATATATTTATATATATACATATATGTATTGACCCCTCTCTGTGGACACACATACGCATTTACATTATGTAAAACATGTAAATGTGTGCCCTATTTCTCTTCGAACACATATGTATATGTGATCGCGGGCTCAGGGTCCTCGCCCCCCCCCCTTCCCAGATGGGATGGGTCCCAGGGTCCTCGGGCCCCGTCCCCCCACCCCCCACCCCCAGATGGGATGGGGGAGGCGGAGGAGGTGGAAGGAGGAGGAGGTGCGAGGAACGAGGAGGACGAGGAGGAGGAGGAGGAGGAGAAGGAGGAGGAGGAGGAGGAGGAGGAGGAGGAGGGAGCGAGGAGGAGAGGAGGAGGAGGAGGATGAGGCGGACGACGACCACGACGGCAATGACGACGACGACGACGACGACGACGACGACGACGACGACACCGACAACAACGACGACGACGACGACGACGACGTCGACGGCACCACCAGCGGCGGCGGCGACGACGTCGAGCACGGGAGCTGTCAACATGACGCCAATCCCAGCCACACGCCGCACCCACACCGCACCCACAGAGGGGGAGGGAAGGGGGGGAGAAGGACCATGGCGTCACCCCGCACACACCCACAGCAACACACCACACCCACACCACATCCGCAGGGGCGGGGGGAGCCACCACGCCACGCCCACGCCCACGGGGGGGGGGGGGGGGGGGTCATCGCGCGGGGGGGGGGGCCGATGGCATTAGCATTGGGGGGGGGCCAAACCCTCGACCACATATTTATATATATATATACACACATGTGTGTGCGCATGACGTGTTCCATCGCTCTCGACACAAATTTCAAATACACATGTGCATGCCTGTGCGAGTTTGTGCTCGCCACTGCTTGTTGTTTGTGTGTGTGTGTCTCTCTCTCTCTCTCTCGCTCTGTTATCTCGCATTCTTTCCCCGCCCTCCCCGCTTCTTCCCCTCCCTCCTCTCCCGCCCGATCCCTATCCTATCTACTCCTTCTGTCCCTCAATTTCGCCTGCTCGGTGGTTCGATCGTGGTTTCTTCTGCCGCTGCCCTCGCTTATTAGTTCCGCCGTGGCAGCATCAACGCGGAGCACCACTGCTGGATCTGCAGGCGCGCGACGCGGTTCCGATTTCATGGCACGTTGGGCCAGGTGTTTGTCTCGCTCCGAAAACAAGGGTGCTTTGTCGTCTAGGCCGTCCAAGTGGGGCCCGAGTCGAGTAGATGTGGTCGGATGAGCGCGCCGCATCGCCGATGCATCGACGATAGGGGCTCGATGAGGAGCCCCACTTTCTCCGCGCCAACGTCGCCGATGGACTGCCGACGTCGCCGATGCATCGGCGATGCCTCGGCAATGCGGCGCGATCCTCCGAACCCATCTGCTCGGACCCAATCTAGGAGGCCTCTAGGCATAGCACTTGGTCGCTGCACTCCCAGATCCTCATCTACGTTAGTCGCCGTCCTACATCAGGAGTCGACGGGTTTGCACCCTTTTCTCCTCTTCAGGGGAACGGGCTCCTCTTCAGGGTGCGGGCGTCAGCCCGAGGTCTGCTTTCAACCCCTTCGTACTTCATGTTTCTGACTGCTCCTTCCGACTGATGAGTACACGTTGATGGATAGGCCCCAGGTGCAGTCGCGTTCGCAGTTCCTTCGGTCCAGGTCGGGTCAGTCGGATGCATCCGAGCGTCGTGCTCGATTCGCAAGCGCAGTGTGTTTAACCCCGAAGGCGTAGAGGTTCTGGTATTTGGTATGTCTGCATCCGCTGTGCGAGGTTGTTCCGGGCAGCCATCCCCATGAGGGCAGATGAGGGTGTTGGAGGGGACACACGTGGCTTGATTCCGGCTCATGCTTCGTCTCAGATGGGCGCCCGAGGGCATGGTGTCGTGTTGTTGGGCCTGCTAGAAGCCTCTTGGAGTTGGTGGTGTGGCCTCCGCAAACATTCCAGGGGCTCGTGGAGCCGTAGTCTTGGGCCGGCGTCACCCGAACATGCAGCGGGGGGCCCTGCCGAGAAGCACGCCCTCCTTGCCTCCAGGGTGCCCCGGGTGTCTTGGGCCTCGAGGGTGCTGCGCTGGAAAGCGTGGCGCTCCCATCCCAAAAATCCGTGGACGTCCTGTGGTCTCAGGGCCGGGTGCCTTGTGGCAGGCCTCCTGTGGTCGGGCCTCCGCTGTGCGCGTCTGCCCTGCAGGGGCGACGCGCCCGCTCAGAAGTCTCGCGGCAGGGGCGCCGATGCGGCGCGATCCTCCGGCCCCACCGGCTCGGACCCCGTTCGGGTTCCGTCGGGCCTGTCCCCCCACAGGGGGATCTTCGACGAAACATAAAAATAGGTCCCAGACAAAAAAGGTCAAACAAATATTCAAAAAAGGTATAAAAAACACCCCAAAGGTAAAAAACACCCCCAAGGACAGTAAAACACCCCCAAAAGGTCAAAACATATGCAAGAAATAGTCCCCAGACTATTTTTTGGGATCATTTTTTGAGCCGAAGGGGGTGTTTTACTGTCCTTGGGGGTGTTTTTTACCTTTGGGGTGTTTTTTATACCTTTTTTGAATATTTGTTTGACCTTTTTTGAATATTCATTTTTTGGGTTCTACTTTTCATTTCTCGTCGAAAGTCCCCCTGTAGGGGGACAGGCCCGGCAGAACGTTCGGGAGGCCTCTGCGCGTGGCCTGCCGCCCGTGGCGCTCTCCGTGCTCCGGGGTGGCCACCGCGCCCGTGCCCGCGGCCTCGCGGGGCCGGCCCCGCGGGGCCGCGACCCGCGAGGCTGCGGAGCGCCCCCGTCGCGGATGCCCCGCGCGGATCGCACCCGTCAGGAGGGGGAAAAACACACAGACACAATTATTTGTCGATTTCCATGAAAATATGGGAAAATATAGGAAGTGGGGGGGAAGACAAAAACCCAGAAAATATGCGAAAATATGGGGGACTATTTTATTTGTGTCTATTTATTTGTGTGTCCTGGGGCCCCTTCAATCCGTGCGGCCGCGCATCCCACCGGATCGCGCCGCGGAGTCCTCGGCGGCGAGCACGGCGGGAGCGAGAAGGGTCGGGGGTGGACAGAACCCCCAACAGTGACACGTCGATTCGTGAATTGTCCGTGTTCGGTTCTCGAGAGGGCGCCGCGGCCGCTCTTTTCCAGGCCTGCGCCCGCCAGGTTTGGGCCTCAGGCCGTTTTCACAAAACCACGTTTTACTAAAGGGAGGTCTGTCCATCCCCGAAAGGGGCGGGCCTTCGCAGAGGGCTCGGAAGTCCCCCGGCCTTGCCGAGAAGTTCTCTTTTGATCCTTTCCGGAAGACGCGACGAAGCATCTCAGAAGGCCGGAAGCCTTTGAGAAGCCCCGCCGCCTTCTGAGAAGGCCTTCTCTTTTTCACTTCCCCCTCTCGCTCACCGCCGAAGACTGCAAGGGCGTGGATATGGATATGTGCTGCCGATCGTGACAAGTAAGTCGGGCACGTCCTTCCTCAGGAGAAATATTAAGAAATAGTAGAACAAATAGTATGGGGACCATGTTTCGAATATGTTTTGAATATCTTTTTGGTATTTTTGGAGCATTCTCAATGTTTCGCCCAAAACCCGCCTGTGTGTGGGGGGGACATCCTTACCTAAAAACATAGTTTTTATAAATAGTCTGGGGACGATGTTTCGACTATTTGTTTCATCATTTCGGCGTATGGTTAGAGTAATTATTCGGCGTATGGTTGGAGTATGTTTGTTATTTGTCCTCCAGGATCTGCCCTGTGGGGGGGC